ATAAACATTGGAGTGGTACAAGGAGGGTGAAAAGTTTAAGATGAGCAGCCACAACAGTATGATTGGAGCTCCACTTTTTGAAATATGTTGTGAAAGACACATTAAAAAAAAGAGGTTGAACTTACATTGCAGTGTCAAATCTACCATTTTTCTATTTTGAACCCGACCCCGCAGAGTATCTACTCCAATGTTTATCAACTTGGCAACTTTAAGCTGTGTGTACTTCAACCCCCAGAATTCCCCAACCGGCATGGCAGTTCAGGAATTATTGGAGTTGAAGTCCACACAGCTTAAAGTTGCCAAGGCTGAGAAATACCAATCTATTCGACCAACAGTATCGTTTTCTCTTTGTCCATTTCTCAAAGCAACAACAATTTTCAGAATAGATTTAGGATTTAGCAGGAACATGAGCAAGTTTTGCAATTCTTTTACTGGTGAAAATGCAGGCTGCAAGAGGACAAGCGGTGGAGCCTACAAACATTTCCATGCCCCTAGGCAGCAGCAGGGGTGGTTGCAGATCCCTAAGGCTGTATCTTACAAAACATCTCAATTTTCAAAGCATTTTTCTCTTTCATGGGACAGATTCCAAAACATGATATTTTTGTTCCAGACCTTCTTGCCACTCCTGTTATTGATTCAAGAGATTACAACCAGCATTCCAAGTTATGTAGAGATGCCAAAGCTGAAGGGTGTGTTTCTGTGTGTATATCCGTGTGTGGCGCAACAGGCCGGCCATTCTACTGTATCAAATGCCAGAAGTCAACATAACGGAAAAACATACGTCCTAGTCCTTGGGTATCACTGCTACAAATGTTGTGTTAAATATTTACTATATTCTGCTTAGATTTGACTTTTCCTCCAAGGATTTTGAAACACTGAAGGCCTCTCTTGGTACAACTGAACTTGGATTTACTGGATGGACCCAGTTCCTTCAATTCCTACAAAAACCACTGCCATAAAGCATTTGGCCCTCAAGTGTTGTATGAATCAACCAATATCTGTCTCCTCTCCTTCATGTTTTATTCGGGTAATTTCAAGGCAGGTCCTAATATTTCCAAACAATCCACTTACCAAGATGATTTCACTAACCCAGTTTCTGGACTAACGTACTACACCGAATCTTTACATAACCAAAAGCAAAGCAAAGCCATACTGCACTCATAGCCCTTATAGACCATATGAACCAATCTAAAAGACACAACATGGTAGACTAAGTTTGCAGCTTGGTTCTCATAACACAGAGGATCTAATTATGAATTACTGT